CAGGACAGTACCCTTATTAATTCTTTGTCAACCTTTGATGAGTTCATCAGCTCTGCTACCCATAAGGCGATTGTATCAGCTAGCTCGCTATTCACTGATGTGCTCTGGAAGAATAAGATGAGTCTGAGATTGCCAAGCAACGTAACAATGAATGAACAACAATAATATAAGTTTTTCGTATATAACCATTCAGATAATTTTTGTGGATATACATAACATTTTTTTTTTTGGTTAACCAAAGACTAATCTGACAAGCTATTGACTTTTGTAAGACGTCTTGGCATTATAAATTTAATTATTTCCTAAACTCCTCTTGACAGAGTTTTGAACTTCTAATTACTCCCATTGTTTATATTTAAAGTACATTTGCTGTGACAGAAATTAAAGAAGTTGGTGTCTATCAGAGAGTTGTTCTTAAATTATACTGGCAAGCTGCGTGTCCTAATTTCTTCTACACACGCATGCATTGATTATCTAGTCTACTGAAAAAGAATAATAAAAAAAAAAAAAAGCAGGAGTGGCGTTTTAGTGCTTGCCTTTTTATCCATAAAGAAAATTTTTTATTGTTATTACTTATACGCATGAAAATTATGGATATGTCAAACTCTTTATATGTCTAACAATAATCTACTTCATTAAAATAATTTAAATTATTTGATTTGACATGCCATGAGTTTTATATATTCTTAATTTATTTTTTATTTTTAAATGTAGGTAAGACTTCTTTCTTAATCTCTAATGTAGTTCCTCCTATTATTTTTCTTTTTTTTCTTTTTTTTCTTCATTTTTTTCTTTTTGTTTGAGCTTATTATTTATTTATTTTAGTTTTAGAGGTCTTGCATCTACTCTATTTCTTCATCTTCTCCCCTCTCTCTTAATTACTGTTTTTTTCCATCTTTCATTTATGATCTTCCTTTTCTTTTTTGTGTTTTTTGTCTCTGTTTTTCTCTTTTGTTTTAGTTTTTGATTCTTGATGGAATGGTTTATGATACTACATCAAACTCTTTATATTTATAAATATATTTGAGAACAGTCTACTTTTATCAAAATCGCTCAAGATATTTGTTAGACATATCATAAGTCTTAAATATTCTCAATCTATTTTCTATTTTCTAGATGTCAAACTCCTTTCTTTATCTCTAATATGCAGTGCTAATGCTAACATTAATTTTCATATAAATGACAGGCCAAAAAAAAAAAAACGCATTTGTATAAATGCACTGCCAGACTTTCCCCCCTTCATTTCATTATCATTCTCCACTTGTTGTTCTGTCTATTCGCGTGAGCTGTGATGAATGTGATTATTTGTGCTAGAGATAAGGTTTTAAAGGGATACGCAATAAATTAATGATCATCCAAACAAATTTTTCTCTTCACTGATTTTAAGTCGAAATTTAGCATTAGTGAATAAATCATACGCATATATATGCGAGGGAAAACATCAAAGCAATAACATTTGAATATTGCCAATTATGACACAGGGTCATTATCACTGATACATCGTAAGCAGTATTCTTTCTTCTCTTTCATATAAATGGGGCTAAAAGTTGCTATGAATCATGCGTATAATGACGTAATATCAAATAATAAGTTCGTCTAATTGGTTTCTTATCCTCGAAATGATTGGTTGGTCCGAAATAAAATGATTGGGATGCTCTCCTTGTCTTGCTGCATACAAGAATTTGTAGCCTATACGTAATCACATGTCACTATTACAGTGTGAGAATATGGGCATAAAAAATCCAGTGTCGTTTTGCTCAATGGAATCTTTCTGAAAATTCCGTCGTCTCCGTGTTTCCGATAGAAATATGTAGAAAACCTAATTTGGACTATTCAATTATTGCCCTTAATTGTTCCTTTTCTTTTGCGCTAATCTTATTCAACTTTTTAGACAAACGGTTGCCTCACTAATGAATAATATATATAACTAATGAGAACAATAACATCCCCATTAAAACAAAAAACAAAAATATACAAAAGCAATTGCTAGTGATATTAGCTAGCTTTTGGTCTTCTCTGTTTTAAGAAATAGTAGCGTTGCAACCTAAATGTTTGTAATGTTGTCCAAGTAATAAAAATCAAAATTCTTTCATGTTTATAGTTATATAAATAGGCAGTCAAAGCTTAGCTCCTTCTATTTCCATCGATTTACTAGGCTCTTAATTAAAGAGAAGAGTCGCGGTCTCTACAAACGACACACAGATGAAGTAAGGCCGACCATTGGAGATTTCTCATCATTTACTACTCAAATATTGGGCGGTTAATTAGATTTATAATAATTTATATTAATATATAACCACCGATCAGTCTAACGTTTTGTTGTTTCCAATTTTACAAGTTGCATGCGCGAGCGGCGAGCCCACCATGTACGGTCAATCGACGGTTAACTTTCAAGTTAGCATTAGTAACGCAGATGACAACATGCGCAGGTCATCCTAATTGTTCTGAGAATATATAACGTTAAAAATGGTTGCCTTTCTCTCCTCGGATACATGGCAAGGAGCAGGGGTAAAATGCTTCATGATTTGATTGTATTTTTACTAATTAAGTTATATCAATGACTTGATCGTATTAATTTATTACTCCGTTACTTGCAAAATCGTATGCTCGTATGTATATTTTTATATATGTAAGATCAATATTGGTGCTCGAAGGCGTCCCGTTAAGCACTGTAGGACTCCCCGCCACCGTTTTGAGGAAAGGATTGGGACCAACCTGCATTATCCTTTTCGAACGTTTTATTTATACTGCTGTTTAATCATCTCTTCTGCAGTTCACTTAATATTCATATTGAATTTACTTTTTATTTTTGGTAAAACCATATGGCATTCACTATTATTGACTATCTGTTAATTAGATTTTATCTAGTTAATTAGATAAAATCTATTTCACTCTTGGCCACATCTTTCTAATGTATAATGTTCAGCAAAAGAAACGAAGAGGACTTCATAAAGAAGAACACACATAAATGCATGCAAGTATTTCAACTAGTTTGGTGCTTGCATATTTAATCTATGTAAAACACACAGTGACGGACCTAGAAAAGTTTATTAATGGGGGCAAAATTTATACCAAATAAAAGTTAATGTTTTAAAAATGTAATTCCAAATATATATTAAATTAATGTAAAAATAAGATAATTAAAATTAACCACATAAGAAAAAAATAAAACAACTATAAAATAATACAAACTTAAAATATAAAATAATCTCGATACAAACAGAATTTATGGAATAAATATTAGCTGTTAATATCATACAATATTTGTTATGATGAAAAGTATCATAATCTTTCAGGATAAATATCTTCAATACAAATAATTTCATAAAATTATTTTTATTTTATGAGAAAGTGTTGCTTTTATACATGAAAGAGTAGAAATAAAAAAAACCTAATATTATAATCTTTTAAATATTAAGTATTACTGAATATTTTATGAGAAGTGAAAAAATATGTTATAATGTTTATTGTAATCTTATCCTTCATTTTATAACACAAACCAACATTTTTATTAAAGAAATTGAGTGAAGCAAGAGCAATTTCATTGCTCCTGTTATGTCTAATGCAGGTCCGTCCTTGACACAGAGTAAATATTAAATGGAGAGATTATGAGCTAACTGCCGATAGATGAGGCTGGCCTATCGTGCCAGCTGGAATTAATGATAACAACGACCTACAAGGCTCCAAAGGGAGGGCGGGCATGCTAAGAAGGACGTAAAGTGTAGCTCTATGCTTTCAAACAATGGAGTACGTAGAACTGTTCCTTACTGTATAGTTGTCCGAGAAAGATCTCTGGCCATTGATGAACGAGGGATAAGATATACAACTTGCTAGAGAGACAGGACATGTACACTCCGCAAATGCTCCGCCGTTCACAGAAATGGACCACAACCATGTCCACATTATACGTGAAGAAGGTTGAGCTCGATCGCTTGCATTGAAACAGGTTTTTCTTTTCAAGGCTTCGAAAAGTATATAATGCATTTGTAATAATTTATAATTTCAACTCTATCAATTGACATCCTGCAATTGGATTATAGCCATGGCAACTAGCAATGTATCTAAATTGCACGCGCGTGGTTTCTAATATAATAAACCAGAACAAAACCAGACCTGTCTCCTTTGTTTAATTTAAGTGATCATGGTCCCGTGGATACATACGTATCTAATTTTTCAACGATCAAGAAATCAATGCAAATTCAAACGCGCTGCCATATTCATTAACAACAACAAGTGATATAAAGCAAGGGCAGAAAAGAGAAGAGGGTCCCTTTTAGAGCAAGGAACTGGTAGATAACAAGATTTAAAAAGAAAGAAAGGACAGGCAATTTTTATGGCCTTTTCTGCGGGGCAAATCGTGTGGGACTTGAATTCAGCTGAGCTACTCAAATTCATCGAAGGTTATCTGAAGATTTTTATTTTTAAAAATAATTATCTGTCACGCTTAACTATGGACTTTAATTAGGTGCATTATCATTCTTCCACAGTAAGATTCTTGTACTGTCATGATGAATTGATCAGAAAACGGACCCCCTTCCCCTGAAAGTCCCCTTGTTGGCCTTGCTTTCTTTTGGGTTGGTGCCATTGTACTACCATCTGTTACCCTTTTCCTCTTGTTTACCTTGTACCGTCAAGCCACTGTACATCATTGGTAAATTCGATTCACTTTTTTTTTTTTTTACCCAGGAAAAACAAATAGATTCACTCCACCGATTTTTTTTTTCTTTTTTTAACGTTCAGTTCACTTTACTTTCGATGGCCGCAACAATTTAAAAAGATTTTCTTTTCCATTTTCAAAATCGAATATTTCCATCTGTTCCCAAGCCATTGTCAACTCTCAACATCCCAAGGCTTGAATACAGATCCGCACCATCTTCAGCAATCGGAATTGATTTCAAACAACTTAAACGAATTGTAGGTATATTCATCTGATGAGAACCCTATGCTATGATTCAAAACTCGATCATTTTAAAGTTAATATATATTAACGTCAACAGAAATAAAATTTAACTCGGAATATATATATATATATATCATTATTAATCTGTATGATACATCAGGATAAAAGAAGGGAACAAAACAACAAATATTGCAGTCGTTTTTCTGGTCCAGATTTTCTAGCCAGAGTCGGCTATCTCTACGTCGCTAATGTATCCGGAACATCAAAATCTCACCGTCTCTGAATTTCTCTATAACAATATTTATTACCTGAATATAGTTTAATTATATACAGGGTCCAGGTGTTCATTAATCCTCAAAACCACCGTCGGATGCATCGATCGGGTTCACATCACTGAACAAGCATTGGGATTTTCATCGCTGAACATCTGAGGATGATGAGCTTGCATGTAGAATGGTGGCGGCTCCACCAGTGGGTATCCCTGGTTTACGTTCTGTGGATTCCCATAATACCCTTGGTTCACATACCCTGGATGTACTCCCATAGCGTGGCTGGGTTCACTGGGCACGTGTCCGTTGTACCAGAATGTCGGAGGGGGGAATCCGTAATATTCCATCTTGCTAACTTCCACCTTAGGCGCTTCCTCCTTTTTCTCACCGTCTCCGCCGGCGGCTGGTTTCGCTTCGGCGTCTTTCTTCTCGCCGCCGCCGCCGCCTTCTTTGGCCTCTTTTTTCTCCCCTCCCCCCTCTTTCTTCGGTGGGACCACCTCCACGTTTCGCTTCAGCTTGTCCTTCAGGTAAGGCGTGAGCTCTTTGACGTCCATCGTTCCCTTCACCGTCACTAAATCTTTGGCTCCGTCAATGTCCACTGACTCGACTCCTGTGCGACACGTCAGACCACCGTCAGCCAGTGGAGGCACTTAACTACCGTTCTATTTTTTTTTTTTTTAAATTCATTATAGCGGGTGTCCCAGAAAACCAATATTCAATTTTATATGTAGGGCAGTAGAGGCAGTTGTATGGCGTCATCTTAATCCTTAGCCTTTTGAATACAAATTAAAATAATCATGCAAAGGAATTAGCGATCGATCGGTATAGTAAAAAATAATCTAGGTCAAATACACTAGTGGCTCACCTTTAAACTTGAGTATGATTCTCCGAATCTTAGAAATGCAACCATCACAATGCAATCTGATCTTCAAAACCGCCGTGCTCTGAACCATCGAAAAATTTAGAATAGTATTATAAGAAGGTATTTATAAAATAAAATCAGGTAAATTTTCGGAAAAATTAAAGTTCAAGATGGTTAATAAGCACCGACTTGACCACTATAAAGCATTTTCAGGCGCGTGTTCGCAGACGTGCATCGGATGCATTATAAGAATATAAATAAATAATATAATTAACGCTACCTCTTTTGGTTTTTTGCCCTCCTCAGCCTTCTTCTCGTCGGGTTTTTTCTCCTCGGCCTTCTTTTCCGGCGCTTTCTGGTCTGACTTTTTACCGGCGCCGTCATCTTTCTTAGGCTGAGGGGAGATGAGCTCCACCTTCCTCTTGGTTTTCTCCGCCAGCTTCCCCTGAACCAAGGTGGGGTCCACCTTACCAAACACCGTGAGTTTGTTGGCAGACATATCGGCCTTTACGTCTTCCACACCTGCATCCACAATCAACTCCACCGATTAAGACTCAAATTGGCCGAACAAAACCTTTTCAATCTCGACGAATTAGCCCGGGATCTAAATACTGGAGAAAACTAATCGGAATATTCTCAAGAATCAAGTATACATACCCTCCAAATGCCGGACGCTTCGTTTGATCTTCTTTACGCATCCCTCGCAATGCATGTCAAGCTTCAAAACGATGGGGGCTGGACCCTCGTCCTTCTTGGCTTCCCCCTCGGGCTTCTTCTTGGTCTCATTCTTTGGCTCCTCTTTTTGCTGCAATAGCCAACAATTAAAGAAACGTGCGTTATAACTGTGACTGATATACTGCTAATTAACGAGTAACTACTTAACTTGACTGTGTTAGAATATAATGAAATGAAAATTTGAAACTCACCTCTCCCATTTGGAATTTAGGATAGAGGATGTGATAACGATATTAGAGTGGAGATGGGGGAATTGCTGAGAAGTTGCTGGTTATTTGAAGAGTGGAAATGGTGGCAACCAAGGGCATATATATAGGGAGTAATGAGGATTGGCTTGCTGGTTAGGTCAGATATGATGGCCGGTCATGATTCATGGGTTATGTATGCATGATGGGCCATGGTGTAACATGTTATCATGTGAAAATATTAGATGGTTTACTGGATTTGGCAAACAACTATTTTATTCAATTAAAAAAAAAGTAAAAAAAATGTAGAGACACTTTTATTATTTATTTCTATATTATTTATAAAATACCATAACATATTACTCCCAAAAAAAAAAATCTGAATTCGTTTGCCGCCGACATATGTTTTTGGGGAGAGACGACGCCAACGCGACTCCTATCTATATTTTCACCGAGGTGTTTGTGGAATGACCGAACTAACCCTGGCCACCATCTGGTTGGCGCTTGTGAAGGATCTTCGGTGGCCATGGGCCCCAACCTGAAGATTGAAGAGTGAAAAACAAAAGGGAAGAAATAATGAAATTTTGTCAAATGATAAAAGGCTCGTGTATGCTAATTGTTTTTATCTCTCTCTGTTTTTTTTTTAAGAACCACGGATTGATGAATATTGATATTAGACCAAAAAAAAATACTGCGAATGCTCGTTCTACGCTGCCCTAGTACGGGATTCAGCATTATGAAAATCTGACTGTTTCAAGCTGCTTTCGTGTAATTGATTTTATTTCATCGTGATTTGTATAGAGAAAATTAGAATACATCTAGAGCAGTTATTTTTATGGCACGCCTTGCATTGGTGACGAGATGAAGATTGTGTGGCGCTTGCACGTTAATTAATGGTGGGAAGGGAAACAGGTGCGTATGATTTATGTCGCTGAATTGTTATAAAATGAAAGGAATGGAGATAGAGTTGGTAAACGGGCGGGCCTAAGCACTAAAGCTCGGTTATCCCAATTTTATTCTAAAATTGAAACCCGGCCCTTATTCATTGGGCTCAGGGCCGGGCCCGTAAGCCCGGATAAGAATAAAATAAAATAAAATTCAACATTAAAATTTATTTAGAATATTTTAAAATTTAACATATATCAAACCAAAGTCTCACATAATCTAAAAAATGAACAAAAAATTTAAAAGTCCAAATAAGATGAAGGCAAACATCATCATCAATCCTAATTAAGATCTCCCTCATTATCATCCATAAATAAAATATTAAAACCCTCAAATGTAGGTCCACTTGTGAAAGATGGAGGCGGAGACTCAATATTAATTATTTCTGCAGCTTCTTCATCATCACCTACAATAATTATTAATTAAATTATTTTATTATCAAATATATATCTATACATATATCACAAGATAAATATAAAAATTACTATAAAATGGCACAAAACAATTCAACCAATTGCTGGTATAAAATACAAATCAATGTTTGCACATTATCTGAAAAGAGGTGAAAACAATACTTTGTGAATAGTAAAACGGGCTTCACGGGCCGCCCGAGCCCGAGCCCGTTTTTCTAAGGCTTAAAAGGGCCGGGCTTTGAAGCCTGGTTACCCTAAAAAATGCTAAATTTTTAAGTCCGAACCCTTATTAAAACGAGCTTAAACGGGCGGCCTGTCAAGCTCGACCTTTATTCTCGACTCTAAATGGAGATGGGTCTTTTTCCAAATGGTTGGTCCGGGGAGACAGCACGATAATTCAGACACCATGAATATTTTCGACCCCTTGTTAAACATGTGATATGGTATGCTGCTTTGTCCGAGTTGAGATTGTTGAAAATGCTGCGACACACACCACAAGGGACACGCCAAGTTAGTCCTCTGACATATTGTCCATCTCCTCCTACCCAACGCATACTCCTCTACCTAATTTCGGTTGTCTGCCTCATCAATGTCTCTTGTAATTTTAAATATAGTTAGTTGTTAGGTATTATATTGAAGGAAATTGGAGAGGGTTCTTCTATATAAACGGGGGTACTACACACTTTATTGAGTTAATTTTTTGAAAAGAGAGTAATAAATTCATGATAAAGTGATATCAAAGTTAGACTCAAGTTTGTCCCAATCAATTGGCCCCTCTAGTGGGTTACCCATGATGAAGGTATCATGAATTGATCAAAGAAGTTGTTAGATCCTATATTGAAGGAACTTGAAGAGGATCTTGTTATATAAATGTATACGCTGCACATCTCAATGAATTAATTTTTTAAAAAAAGAATAATAGACCTGTGACATAATGCTTGCCTCTAGTTACATCAAGCTGGGGTTAGTTTCTTGTCCCTTAACAATTTATCTTTTTTATTTTTATCACGTCTTAATTTAAATATATTGTTCAGAAATAATGTTTATTATTTTTTCACTGAAAAAATTGTAACATCAAATCGAATGTCAACTTTTTCGCCCGTGATTTAAAGCAGAATGGTATATCCATGTGTCAACCTTTCCTCTGATCGATGCGACTATATAGCGAGTGCTTTTAAACTTCCAATATTCTCCAACCTGTTATTAAATTATTAACACATGCATGATTTAGAGATTAATAGTTTAATCATACCAAGTGAAGTCCAACAATTTAATTCTTCATCAACCCATACTTGGATTTAACAGATTTTATCGAGGCTTAAGAGATTCCAACAATTTAAAATAAAGCCACGACTGGTTCTCCGGCCCCGACTTCCTGATCCAGTACTGAATGATCATGAAATAAATAGTCCAATAACTGGGAGCCAAATTTTCTCGGAAGACTCGCATTAATTAGATTTTCTTAAGTGCAACCCAGCTAGTACATATAAAATTAAAATACTAATTAATAGTTAACCATATAAAACAAATTAAAAGCTACCTACCAGAGTACCAGCCACCAGGCTATATTTACACACACGCACAAAATGTTTGGGTGATGAGAATGGAGGAGGGCAAGGTTCACGCACGCAGATAAGGGCATAGTCTAATTTTGACCTTATCTGGAATAATCCAACGACACTGGTGACGTTACCAAACCCTAACACCAAGCTGAAAATTCCAAGCACCCACTCATGACGCTCTGTGAGATCTTTGGTTCTTCTTGAAGGGAACCCCCACAAGGTGACAAATCTTTACGGAGTTGGCAGGTCGTATCTTGTTTTGAAGGGAACTGCCTCATTATAATATTTTGAATCATTCCAATCAAGTTGAGTGTCATGCACCGAACTGTCAAAAACCAGAACCCTATACATACATCCACGTACATCTGATCTCTTTTCATTTTTTTTTTTAACTAAAGTTGTGTCATGCTTTAGTTGAGAGGGCATTGTCATACATACGCGCACGCGAGAGGCTTTCTATTCGGTAGAATGTTTAACCTAGGAAAGCAATGAATAGTAGAAAACGGTGGACCAACTAATTAATTAACAGTAACTTTGCTGAGAGCAATTGCCGCGTTAAAAAGTGTAAAAAAGAAGCTAAGTGAACAGATTCTGAGAATGGGGACAGTTGGAGAGGTCCAATCATGTGGTGTTCATGTGACAAATGGACCAAAACACGCCTTCAGGAAGTTATGTTGCACATGTTCGTGATAGCGATGAATACGAACACGCGACGTGGCTTGCCCTTTTCCTTAATTGTTCTATATATCTGCACATATGCAACAAGTGTGTCTGTTTGTGTGTGTGTTTTCATTTTTTTACGATGGTCAATTTTTAGTTCTTACTTAGCAGTTCGCACTCCGCCTGCGGAACGTCTAATTACTTACATTGTGTGATCTCTTGCGGTACAACGGACGACACTTTGCCAGTCGATTAATTTACTTGATAAGTATCAATTCATACAAACAACGGTGTGAAGTTGAATTCTGTATAGTTTTGTTTATTTTTGCAATTACAAACTTACAAGATTAATAAATAATTTTTAATTTCTAAACCCCGCACCTTTATTAGTTTTAAAAACAACTTTATGCATACAGATGAATTTGGGCCTATAATATCGAAGGGATAATTGAGTTGAAATTAAATTGTCTCTAAAGAAATATTAAGTTAAAATAAACAAAATATATAAACATTTTTTGGCAGGAAAAAAACACATGAACATTGCCACTTTTGGCGGGGAGTGGAAATGAAACAGATTGTGAGGTCTGAATAAGTTTTTTTAAAAAAAATTTAAATTTTTGGTCCCAGCGTGTGTGGTATATAGGTTTTAATGAAATTAAATTTAGTACTTGGTAACAGACTCTCATCAGAGCACCAGTGGTCTAGTGGTAGAATAGTACCCTGCCACGGTACAGACCCGGGTTCGATTCCCGGCTGGTGCATTTCGAGAGCTGTGAGGAGATATTGCACATCTTGTGGTTGACGTTCAATCACGCTCGTCTGACCTAACAGATGATATCTCGTGCATCTGAGCTCTATTTTTTTTCCTCCTTCCTTTCTGACCTAACAGAAAATAAGTGTGCGATAATCGGGGGGACCCAAGTCCCGCTCAATATTTGGACGTGTTAACCCAGCGAAACCATGTGCGAGTTGATTATTTGATTTGTCTCTTCGACCTGTAGGTGCAGCTAGGAATTTCTCGTTTCTGGCAGAAAATCATAGGATGACAATAATAACTACCATATATTTATTCTGGTACTTCTTTGTTCTAATGCTGATATCCAAAACAGATTCTAGCATATCCTCCTCATTCCATTTCAAAATTATTCACCCTTTAAATATGTACAGAGATCAGAAGTCACATAACATGAACTGCTTTAAGATTCCATTGGAAAAAAGCTATTTCAAGATTTCACAGTATTTTATCAAAACACACACTTTTAACTATCTTGACGAGGGACGACTCTCACCTTTCCCATTAACTCGAGAACAAAAGGTAAAATAAGAACGCTTAGTCGCTTATTCATGACTCCAACAATGACAAGTATTTTAAATTTTAAAATAAATTCTAAAACCTAGCATAATATACATTCTCAAACAGAGGGCGTAATAGGATTGCTTGCAAGGCCCATGGGCCTGCTATACCAGGAATTTCTTTTGGGAGGGAAACTATCTCGTCGGGGTCTAATGAGTAGATGGCTTAATCGAATGTAAAAAAATAAAAAGGAAAACACAGATGGGCGTGAGACCACAATCCGGCCATCGAAATCCGAACTCTTATCCCGCGTTGTCAGAAGCAAGCAAAAGCGAAATTACAAGGCATCCAGGGTGACTTCTCCCACCATTGCCATGCGTGCAACTCCGCTTCCATCTTCGTTCCTTATCCTTCAACCGCGCTTCAATTTATACTTGAGACCACTCTTTAATTCCCTCAGCTATCAACTGCCATCTCTGTCCCTTAAATTCGATTGCACTCGTAAGTTCTCCATCCGCCGGCCTCCATTTTTGTCGAATACCAGATTACACTCTGCCTTGTCACAAGCGACACTAGCCGAGTCTCCGAGCAATAATGCGAGTGGCGGTGATAGGTCAGGTGCGTTATCTCCGGGTCCACTCACTGGAGAGGTGCAGAAAATAGACGTAAATCCTCCCAAGGGGACGCGGGATTTCCCGCCAGAAGATATGCGCCTGCGCACCTGGCTTTTCAACAATTTCAAAGAGGTAAGATGGTTGAGAATTTTTTAACTTTTAAGCAGCCATTTTATAGTTGATGATTGATTGGATTCTTTTTTAATCGTGCATGTTGCTTTACCGGGACTTCTAGGTTTCACGGCTGTATGGGTTCGAGGAGGTTGATTTTCCGGTGCTCGAGTCAGAGTCATTGTTCACTAGGAAGGCGGGGGAGGAGATCAAAGACCAGGTCGCTATTATGCTTCTTTAATGAGGATAAATGCTACTCGTCATATCAAATATATATGATGTGCATGTATACTATGGTTGCTTGTGTAATTATTCCATCCTTTAATCTTAGGTTTAAAATCTATATTTCATAGTTATACACAGGGATGATATGAGGCGAGCGATCCTTCATAGGGTAGCCAACTTAGCATGTGATGGCTTTAATCATTGTGGGCTTTAAGCTATTGGCTTATTCTTTTGATTTTACAAAGTAGCTGTAGGGTGCTAAAAGTGGTCATTGGAGGATGACATTCTTCTGATGCGAGGGCCATAGCTTTATCTTCTGTTTGTGCATTTTAAATGACTGCCATGAGAGTTTTTTTTTTTTTTTTTTGGTTTGGGCCAATGCAATGAGAGAGTTTAAATAGGGAGTGCTATTATGATGTGGTAGTATTGTGGTAATGTGGCATATAAAAGGATGGTTTGAGAATATTTGGAATATTCATCGAGAAAAAAAGCTTTATGGAGGGTCACAGAAAGGAGAATCAACCAGTATGGTCTAGCCTTTAATATCAGATCCAAATTCCGTAGCATGTGATTTAAATAAGACAATTCTGAGTAAAATTGGAAGGGAGTAGTTCTGAGAAAGAATTACTTGAGTAGAAGTAATAAGAATTGAAAATGCTGTGATTGTAAGCCAATGATAATTGATTTTAGAAGTTTTATTCAAATTTGATTGCTAGAAATTTGGTTAATGATCATGATGTTGATAGTAATTTCTTTGTTGCCCTGTAGTTTATACTGCCTCACCACTTGTGGACAATTCATTGTGTGAAATGCAGACTATACATATACCTTGTGTACTGTTTGCATCATTTTATCCTTTGGCTCCATAAGTAACTAATATGTGGTAATGATAGAGCCATGACAAGTCCTTCTGGTGTTGAAAGATAAACAATCAATATATGAAATTTATTTACAGGCTTGACTCTGTCTTTTTTCTGATCATGACAAACAAAGCATGTAAAAATCATAGCAGAGTATGAAAAAACTTTACTGTTCATTTCTTCAGCTTTATTGTTTTGAAGATCGGGGTAATCGTCGTGTTGCATTGAGGCCAGAATTAACTCCTTCATTGGCAAGGCTGGTAATACAGAAAGGGTATGAAAATGCTTCTTGTTTTTCTCATCGTTAGGTTTTCATGCATATATATGTTTTTTATGTTCAATCAATGAAATTTTTGGTTTAACCTATATAATTTCTATTCTTTTATTGTACATGTCAAATTGTGATATTCCCCCCCCCCCAGAAAATCTGTGTCCCTCCCACTGAAGTGGTTTACTGTGGGACAATGTTGGCGGTATGAGTGACAAGGGGTCGTCGTCGCGAGCACTACCAGTGGAATATGGACATTATTGGTGTTCCTGAGGTTATGGTATGTGCTGGAGCCATGCATACTTTCTGCAGTAATGGACTATACTGCCTGCTTAAATGTTTCATCATGTATTATTTATATAAAAGCATGGCATTTGGGTGTCATCACTTTATAGTTAATTTATTGTTTTGACTAAATGATATGTTTGTTAACTCTTTTTGGTTACTCCTGTGTTCATTCCAACAACACTGATGAACTTGTTCATTCTATCTGTAGCTTAGGTGCATAAGTGATAAAATTGCTGGATGTTCCTTGCTTCAAAGTCATGAGATTATAGTTTTGTTGATTTCCTCTTTTGTTAGCATGCTTATTGCATGATTTTTTATGCTTTGGTTAAAGTTATTTCTAATCTCAATAGGTGGTGATAAAGATACAATCAAATGAATTATGTCGTAATCTTTTGTACTTTTTTCCTACTCCATGCTTCTTTTTATGTTATAGGCTGAAGCAGAACTCATATCTTCCATTGTCACTCTGTTCAAGCGAATTGGGATCACGGAATCAGATGTTGGATTTAAGGTTTCCAGCCGAAAGGTGAGAAGCTTCCTTCTTTATCTGAATGATGGGCCTGGTGGCCCTCCAGAGTGCTATTTGTATGTTATATTTCTTTTATTTTTATTTCCCCCCTATAATTATGTATAGTAGGGCTTTATATGAATCAATATTACTCAATATATGATGTGTTGATTTTAAAAATCCTGACATGCAATTTATTTTTCAAAGAGGCATTGCTGGCTTAAATTTCAGGGGATATGTATGAAATATTATCACAGGTCTGTTTGTAGAAAATTGTTAACATGTCAAGATGTATAATGTGTTGAATATATCGAGTAATTCTTACTTGTATGCGTTGCATATTTTGGTTGAAAACTTATGGAAATGCAAGTCTTATGATTGGAGGTCAAAGGCTCATCCAGAATGTCATCTGTTGTCACAGCTTTGTCAAATCAACTATGCAGGGTTAATTAGTAGTATGATAGTTCCATACCTCTGACCTGGTATAATGCCAAGTTGCAAGTCCCAAGTCCATGATATGCGTTTGTTATTAGGATTTTTTCTGGTGCTTTGCATGCGTTTATGTGACTAGTATTTAATATTTCATGTCGTGTTATCATTGTGAACATTGATTTGGTTGTTCTAGAAGCCAATGGTGTTGTTCATGTAGCTGATCTCACTTAATAAGATAAGGCTTGTTGTTGTTGTCATCATTGTAAACCTCAGTTTTGTAATCTTTCTTGTCTCACCTGCATGCGCTGGAAAAATGTAGAATATGCAAGTCACTATGTTTGCTTTTTGGGCTGTTAATTTTTTTCCCTGTTGGAAACCAAGAGGCGGTAATTAATTTGAATATCTTTCCTCCTTGATTCACAGGTTCTACAAGAAGTATTGAAGTATTACTCCATTCCTGAAAATTTGTTTGGCAAGGTTTGCGTCATCATAGACAAAGTGAGTTATGGCCACATGTTTTATTTTGATCTGAGTTACTTTTTTTATTTTGAATCTGAGAGTTATAAGTGTAGTGTTTATTTAATTTAATTTTTTCCCATGTTAAGAGTGCTTTACTCATCCTGGCCCTTGTTTGTTCTTGAGAAAACAGATGTGACAAAATGGATTATGATAGCCCCTTTTTTCTTCCATTGGTTTCTAATAATCATAACAAGAATTATAGAGTGACATCTATACTTTTAGAAGAAAAGATCAAGTTGCATGCAAGAGTTCAAGAGCACAACTAAGGACCTATTGTACAGTCACAGAAGTAAATGTTAAAGAGAAAGCCAAGTGCCAATGATTTCCTATGGCTAAATCCTATTTATATTGACTAGCCTAATTTCTTAACATCCAAAGGATTTATGTAAATTAGGCACAGCAACTTGCTGTTATGCTAGGAATCCAAAAAATGGAATACAATAATAAAGATCACAATTAACAGGACTTACTTTTGAATTTATTTATCAATAATCAAAGGAGTAACTATTCTATTCAATTATAACCTTATTTGTAGGTAACTAAATCCTAATTGGGAAGAAAATAGAAAATTACGAGGATGACATCCAAGTCATTTATAAATAATGACTATATCCTCTAATTGCCTCAATCATCTAATCACAAGTGTCATAGTTCCCTAATGACATTTAAATCTTTAATAAAAATAAAACTATAATTCTTCTCTCCTGTCTTGCATTGCAAGGTTCCAAGAGGCAGAAAGCTTAGTAATATTTTATAGTTGGAAGTTTTCAACAGTAGGAAGTGGAGACAAATTCATTCCTTGAATCAAGTTCTATGTAGGAACAAATTGTCTTCTTCAAAAGTAATCTCTGAGAAACACTAAATTATCTTCATATCCATTAAAAAAAAAAAATCACCAATCAAACTTGCTCTTCTAACATACTCCACTGCATAACCTGAGTATACGGTCTAGAAGATTTCTCAATAATTCTATTAAGCTAACTTTGGTTTGTTGGTTGCCTATGTTTCATGCTTCTAAGGCAAGATTCTTGAGTAATTGATTGCATCATAGAGAATGTTTGGATGCCACATTTTTATGCACATTTTTACCCATCAACATACACTCGTTTGCTTTCCTTTTAAAAAAAAAAAAAATTTGTTTGTTTTGAGCTGTCATTTTATTCAAGTTTCCTGTATTTTGTTCAATTATTTTTGGAATGACTGATGTTTCATAGTCTGGTATTTTCTTTTGTTTGGCATGCATAAATATACAAATATGATAGAGAATTTTGTATTATTCCTGCCTTGGAACAGATAGAGAAAATTCCATTGGATGAAATAAAGAAAGAGTTGAAGGCTTCAGGTGTGTCGCAAGAGGCTGTTGAAGAGCTATTGCAAGTACTTTCCATAAAGTCATTGACAGAGTTGGAAGGTTCATGATTTCCTGTTTATTGACTCAGAAACTGCTTTACTTTTAATCTATTGCTTTTGCTGATTGCAAGACACGTCTAAATAAGCTATTTGTGCTTGAGAGTTGGTCATTTGAATTTCAGAATGTGGGTGTGATCCTCTGATGCTTCACATATTAGTTTCAATAAGGTTATTAGTCGAGGTTTACCCCTCTTCTCCTGCAATTTGACCCTGTTTCTGTATTGAGTGAAACTGGTGTGCTATACGGAATCATTCATGCTATGGATTTTGTCACCACGCCCCCTCCAAGCCCCCGACCCATGTTAGATAAAGAAAATTCTCCTTATTCTTTTTTGTTGATCATGAAGTCCTTAACATTTCCATAGACTTTCAAGCAATAGTTCCAAACTTAGAGAACACATGCTTGTGGCTTACATGCGATCTAAATTTGTTGGTATTCAGAGAGACTTGGAAGCACTGGAGAAGCAGTTGCTGATCTGAAACAGCTGTTTGCACTTGCTGAAAAGTTTGGTTACTCTGAATGGCTTCAATTTGACGCATCAGTTGTTCGTGGCCTTGCTTATTACACTGGCGTTGTGTTTGAGGTTGGATATAGTTTATACAAATGACTTATTGAACCTTATTGTGTGAAGACTGAACTGGAAAAAAACACCCCCCCCCCGGGGGGGGGGGGGTTACGGAGTTGAAGAAATTTCTTTTTTGAACGTTGAGATATTCTTTATTTTGTGTTTTGGTCTGTATGAGAAGAAACTCATGAAATATTTGGAATTTGGCAATTGACTGAAACTGCAGCTTTTTTACCTGTGCATAAGATAGAGGCACATGAGTAAAATGGTATACGCATCTCTTTCAGGGTGATATGCTATATTTGATGCTACTTTTTTTTTTTCACTAGTTTCCAATTTTAGCTGCAATATGAGAACATAATCATGTTGATTGCGTTGATTCTGTTAATTTGCAGCTATTGTATAAATGGACTACGATGATTTTGCTCTTTAAAATGACCAAATCTTCATTTGTAGGGCTTTGACCGAGAAGGAAAGCTACGAGCTATTTGTGGTGGGGGCAGATATGACCGGTTATTCTCAACTTTCGGCGCTGATGACATTCCTGCTTGTGGCTTTGGGTTTGGTGATGCAGTCATAGTGGAAGTGAGTTTCAATGTTTCCACCAGCGAACAGAATAAGAAAGAAACCATCTTCTGTGTTATAATAAATTTTTCCAGGCTGAATCTCTAACACCCTTTGAAGTTTAGGATTAGTTATGGAAAAGCAAAGTGTGGAAAACTAATGCAATATTTGATAGGTGGAAAAGTGTTTTCTAGAAAGAAAATGAGAAATGCACCTATCCTATTTTCTTTCTAGGTATTTTCCTCATTTCTTTTTCTAAAAAGCTCTTTTCTGTTTACCAAATAACTGCTAAATAATTATTGAGGCAGTTTATTTTCTAAAATATACGTGCCTCAGAAAGCTTTTATTTTGATGCTTGATTTCTTCCTTCATTTATTGTTTGATTTATTTCAACTGCAAAATATCTATATTTGGTTTCTTGTCAGTTTACTAGTTATATAATTCTTTCTTTCCCGGACCATGTTCTACTGTTGATTGTAAATCCATTTTTTATTCATCATATTCAGTCTTTGCTGTTAGCTTTATGTTCAAATTAGCGTTCACTCTCCTGTGCGTTGCACTAAAGCACCTCCTTATAGATTTTATTTGCTTATGTCTCACTTGTTTTTACATAAACAACTTCGCAGTTGTAGTTATGCATTCCAACTATTGATTGATTTCGCCAATTCTGGTTTTTTTTTTTTTTTTAAGATTTCGTCAATAGTGAAAGAGGACATGATCCTTGTAGGAGTTTTCAGACGACAAAGGAAACTCCGTGGCAGTGTTATTATATGGAGCCACTCTATCTGGCTTACTACTTTCTTCCACATGTAATGAAAGCTGACTTCCATGTTAGAGCCAATTAATGTTGCTGCTAATTGATCTCTTGTTTTTAATCCCACCGTTTTTGTTTTCTTTTATTTCTGCTTTTGCTTGACCACCTTTTTTTTTTTTTTCTTGGTGGGGGATGGGGATGGGGATGGTTGGTTTTATATTGAAGTTGCTTAGAGAGAAGGGTCTTCTACCTGACCTCAGCTTGCAAATAGAGAACATCGTGTGTGCCCTGGACGTTGATCTTCAAGGAGCTGCTGCTACTGTTGCTAGGATTCTTAGGGATAAAGGGCAGAGCGTTGACTTGGTTTTGGAGAATAAGCCACTTAAATGGTACAAAATTTGTGCTACTTATAGTTTTCTCCTTTTCTTGTTTTTCTAAGCTGGCTTTCTTTGTAAGTGAACTAATTTTCTCATCTGAAATTTATTTTTCCCCATTGATATAAAAACAGGGTTTTCAAGCGAGCAAGCCGAATAAATGCTCAGCGGCTGATATTAGTGGGGAGTTCTGAGTGGCAAAGGGGTATGGTTGGCGTAAAAATTCTCTCTACAGGTGAACAGAACGAGGTTAAACTTGATGATCTAAATTAATTATAATTCGAAGACTCAAGTGTAACCTTTGTTGTAACTTTATTCATTTGACTTTATTTTTCCCACTATTCCATGCTTGTTAACCTGTAAATATATTTTTGAGTAGGCGACTGCGCGGGCACAGCCATGCATGTAGACATATAATCTCATTGAGATTTTAAATACTTGAATGTTATGGGTTAAAATAATAATAATATTAAGAAAAAATTTATATACTTAGTCTTATTTAAGGTACTTGTTTAGATATGTGTATTTTTTTATAGATTACTTAATTTATAACAAATTGTTATTATTAATATTATTTACATATTAAAATTCATATGTTTTGATTTGATTTTATAAAAATATATTAAGTATATAAAGTTAAATATGTAAGTCTTGCCTTAAATCAATTATTATTTTTAAATATATAAGTCTTATCAAAAACTTTTTGATTCCTGAATTTTAAAATAATTTTTTTTATTAGCATGTGGCTTCCTATTTAGTATTATCCTTCAAATGAATTGTTCTGCCAGGTTTTGCTTAGTTCACAATTGTGGGAAGCATATTTATAAGATCCTAGATGTAGATTTATTTAAATTCAAGCTGATTCGCAACACATGCTTTCTTTGTCAAATTTAATCGTTTCAATATGACATACATTTGAAAATATTACGTTCATGACAAGAAATGTATACATACATACATACATACATATATATATATATATAACATTTTTAAATATTAAAGATACCTTTTAACGGAATTTACTAAAACATTTTTCGTGAATCCCCTGCCTAAATTCATATATTCCATTCATTAAAAAATATAAAATATTTTTAATAGAATTATACCTTTTAATAATGTAGTTATTTATGTTTAAATTAACTTTATTTTTTATATTTATTTATATTAAACTCCTTACAATAAATATAAAGTCTTTCCATCAATAGAAGTGCTTTTGAAAAAAAAAAAGTAATGATATTAAAAATATCTTTATATTTTTAACATCTAACTTTTCAAAAAATATTTTATATTTTTTAATAGAAGGAGTATAAATTTTAAAACCATGGTAAATTTTAAAATTCAAGCTGAATAGTTTGAAGGTTAAATTATCTTAAAATATTAAATTAGCATATAGTTAATATATCTAATGATTTAAAATCTACGTAACAAACTTGGAGAAATATTTAGGTAGACAGAGTGCTTCATATCATTCATAGTCTGTCTAATTAAAATGTTCAAAATAATTTAAATAAAATTTTGTGTGACATTTTTTATATCAATTTTAGTCTTTTAATAGAGTCCACATTTGATTTCTTACTTTTTATCTTTCTACTAGTATTAATATCATAATTAATTTATATTTAATGACATCTAAATGTAATATTTTTATTGGACATACTATAAATAATGTGGTGTACCTGCTTAAGAATTTCTCACAAATTTGATATTGAAAGGTAAATATTATAGTCTGTGGTGAAATTAATTGACTTCTAATATTAATTAATTCATGAAATATTGGTTTATAAGATTTATTTTTTCAAAACATCTAAGTAACATTTATTGTTTTATTTTACATAAATTATTTAAATTTAAACAATAGAAAACCTTATACATTTAGCTTTATATCTTATTTAATATGCTTGTTTTTAATTAAATCAAGACATGTAGGTCTTTTATAAACTATTTATTTTATAACAAATTCTTGTTATTAATACCATTAACACATTAAAATTTATTTGTTATAAGTATATTAAATATATAAAACTTTCTTGCATGAACCAAGTACACCATGTCATCCATGGTTTGTCTAATAAAAACATACCATATATTGATTTAATCAAATAAAATATTGTATGTCATTGTTTTTTAATGACTTCATTTTTTGAACAAAGTGCCTCTTTAATTTATTGACTTTCTATTCTATCATTATCAATAATAGAATCAATTTATATTTACAGCCATACGGTATATTATATTTTTATTGGACATACCATAAATGAAATGATTTATCTAATCAAACTGATTTATAATTTAAACAGTATATGATAAATAGGAGAAATTTTTAGATAAATTGTGTGACAAATTTGATTTGTCTAATTAGAATGTCTCAATGCATATAAATAAAATTTTATATGATATTATTTTAATTAATTTTATTCTTATAAGAAAATAGATATTTAATTTTTAGCCTTTTATTTTTTTATCATCATTAATATTATAATCAATTTATATTTAACATTTTCTAAATATTATATTTTTATTAAATAAATTATAATTAATGTGTTGTACACATTCCATCTAAGAATTCCTTACATGGTTATCTTTAAAAGCTCATGAATTTTAGGTAAAAAAGAAAAAGAAAAAGGTCACAGATGTGAGAGATCTAGTTAATAGTTACTCTCACCATTAAAAAATGGAAGGTATTTTTTAGGAATTAGATGTTAAAAATATAAGGCATTTTTAATCTTTTAAAGTGTAATCATTGTCCTTTTTTAAAACTGTCTCTATTAATAATAATTTTATATTTATTGTAGGGTATTTAATAGGGATAAATATAGAAAGATAAGGTTAATTTGAAAGTAGATAACTACTTTATTGTGGGTGAGATTCGATTAAAAATGTCTTATATTTTTTAATGGAGAGAGTATGAGTTATCTGTTTTAATATTTGTTTTACAATTTAATTATTAATTGTTTATAAAAAGGACACCGCCTTAGGATAGGAAAGTCCTAGTTAGGGGTGTGTAAAAATTTTTCAATCCTATTCGACCTAGTCTAATTCGAGAAAGTTCAATCTTATTAAAAACTAGTCCTTTAGATTAAAAAGACTAAGAATAAGAAATTATTTTTTCGCGTTGGACTTGACAAGAGATTAGACATCTGGACCACTTAATCTAATCTGATCCTATTAAATTTATTTACTATGATTATAATTAATTTACTAATTATTTATAATAATAAGTTAAAGCTATTAATAATTTAATAAATTTAGTTACTCCCACGATCGCACACTTAAACTAATAATTTAATAATCTAGACCATTTAAACTGTAATTGAAATATTTTTTATTTAGACTACTTAAACTATAATTAAAATATTTTTTATTAAAAATTATTATAAATTTATTATGATTATAAGTATTTTTATCATAAATTTATTAAATTAAAATAAATTATTGCTTCTCATAAAAAAATTAAATAAATATTGAACTAATAAAATTAATTTTTTAATTTTATAAATTAAATTTAATCTTGTTAATATTTAAATTATTACTAGATTAAATTGAATTATGGGTTATATAACCCAATTTTTTTTATAAAAGAAATCAAAATTTGAGTTAGATCGAAATAAAATCCCGTCTAATCGTTGTGCAGCCCTAATCCCAGTTATGTGTTTCCTGTGAAGCTTCAATATCAGATGACAAAACCCTAGCTATTGCAGTGGGGCGCGATCCAGAACTCAAAACCTAACAATCAAGTCATCCGTGAGCACAGAAAGACAAATATGGGTGGAAAATGCCCACATAGAAGCGTAAAGAAGCGAAGATATTCTCACAAGACGGCTCGGCGCACCAAATTTCTTCTCAAGGATATCCTTCTTAATTATGTCTTTAACGCCTCTTTTGTGCTTTTCCTAGTTATCTGCGACTTACTCTCAGTTCTCGTTTTCTCTCTGATTCTATGTATTGTTTAGTTTTGAATGTGATTCTTGACTAGTTTATGATACGAGATGATATGGTTTTTGATGAGCTGAAGATGCCGGATGACGAGAAGAAGCCTTTACCCTTAGATGAAGATTTACCTGGGATGGGCCAGTTTTACTGCCTTCACTGCGAGTAATCTTGCTTATCATTGCACACTTTTTTTTTTTTGTTCTGTTTTTTCCCCGTTGGCTTCTTGAAGCAAGATAAAGTGTTACTAGTTGGAATCACACAACTGACAACAAGTTTCATATTCATTTCTCTGCAGTCGATACTTCTCCAATGTGGCTGTGAGGGATGAGCATTTTAGGACCAAACGGCACAAGAAACGGTAGGCTACTTAGTTTACTAATGTGTTTTTGCTTCCTTGGTTGCTCATTCAGTCATTCCTTTTTAGCTTTTCCTCATTGTTTGTTCAATATTTGATGAATACTTGCTTGGGTTGATAGTGGTCCGTCTAAGTTTTGAGGCTGCTACTGCTTTGAAGCTGTCTATATTAGGTTTCGGATATTTGGTAAAGAAAATTGCAAGAACTGCTATCTTGCATATGCTGTTCGACAAATAAAAAAATTGTACTAGGCAACATCCTGCATAGGCTGTCGATGCTGATTCCATAGGTTCCAATGCCAATTCAATATTCTTTGTCAATAGAAAGGGAGAGCCTATCTCAAAATGCTCCTAAAAAATTTATAAAGCCCACTTATTTTGCAAGGTTCCCTCATGTGAGACTCATAATAACACTACCTCATCAAGAGTTGACATCTCTGCTGTCTCCACTCCACAACACTTCACTTGACTTCTTATCAGTTAAAAACTTTCTTGGACAGTTTCTTTTGTGACATCCACCTCTTAATGAAAGTACCAATGTTATTAATACAAGTCCAAAAACGAGCTTATCTCTGCCTATTAGGAGGAAGAGCCCTTGGGTTTATAAACCTTACAACACATCCATTAGCCATGTATGAATTTGAGCTATAAATTTCAACGATTCTAAGTTCAGTTTGGTATTCTACTCACATTTCACGCCCTGGGAAATTTTTGGAAGCCATTATTATCGTAGTGCAATCAACATCAATGTCAACTTCACCGAGCTGTTCTTATCAAATGTACGTTAGTTTTGATGGGCTGATTGGGTATTGATTTTAATACGACATATTCTTTATGCAGTGTAAAACAAATGATGGGACCTGCGCCACATACTCAACTTGATGCCGAATTAGCTGCAGGGATGGGTATCCCAGATAATGGCCCAAAGTTAATGTTTATGTGATTGGGTTTTACTGAAGATTTTTGTTTGAGATTGATGTGGTTTTTTTGGTGGAAGATATGAAGTTTTACTCTCCCTCGCTCCACCTAGTCTTACAAAATCAATTTTACAGTTTTTAATTTTTTTAAATTCAATCCGTCTATACTTTTCCAGCTCAATTTTATCTGCTAGAGAGCAACGTAGATCTCCGTTCTCCATTTGCGCGCGCTCTTCTTCTTTTTTTTTTCAAATTTTTATCTGCTGTCTTTAATTTTATCATGGTAAGTTTAACGTGGGAGGAAATTTTCCGCTCATGTGGTTTTGGTTCGTTCAGCCAGCGTTATTCTGTTTATTGCGGCGTTTGGTTCTTTCCATCTCGCCAAGATCTCCACAATCAGCTGTATCCATTAGTTGTCTTTTGTTGTTTGGTTAGCTGGCCTTCCATTCTGAAATAAAAGGGGATAGTTTAGAATGATGGACTAAAAGGCTTGTCAACTTGTAACATTGCTATGCTCGAGTTAGACTGGTACAAGCAGTAGAGTAGAAAGCTTAGAAATACGAACAAAAATATTGTCGCTTGGAGAGGATCAAGCCCCGCAATTATGAGAGCCAGTTTACTAATATTTACATCGATTCATCTACTCGCTTTATTTTTCCTTTTAAACAAAACACGCTGTGTCTCAAACCATACAAAATTCAAGGATCCGGGATCAAAATCATGATGCTTATTATACATGTCGAGAGTCCAGAATTTTTGCCCTACAAGGGGCTGCTCTGACGAGCTTACTCGTCCTTATCGTGTGTCGGTGCTGAGAACACAGGATTATCCACAGCCAAGATTTACATTCCGTTGAGCTGTGAATGTGCCTACCCAGCCATCGTCATCGCATCGATCAAGGCGTCTCTACACACGATTGCTTTTACATTCACCGTTCCGCGTATCCCAAGCATCAAGACCCCGGTGTTCCATTTTTAAATCCTGAAAAGATGGCAGCCGTTATTTAGTCCTAAGATACTCCATAACTAGAAAGAAAAGGGAGGAATGAACTGACAGACCTGCTACTGCAGCCTGCCTTTTGGCAGCATTACCAATCATAACGGTAAAAACAGATCTCTAGCTGGTCCAGCTGACCACCAATCAACAAGCCACAGAAATAGCATCATCCGAGTCTTCTTTTAACTGAAAACCAGAGGGATTCGCTGACGGAATCTTCCAGGGCAAGCAGAATAACAATTGAAATTCATAGTAGCTGTTAAGCATACCAATTTAAGATGATTGTGCAAAGAACTATATAACATCTTCTTCAGCTTGTCGCATTGATCTACCATGTGACCCATTTTGATCAACTCCTCAAGTTGATACAGTAGTCGCTCAATTGTGGTGTATGGGAACCAAACCGCGAATGGCTTTTTCCGTCTGATTATATCTGCTGGTCTCTGCAAAAAAATTGATGCAACAGGCCATTGTTACTACGGCTTCTTCAAGCACGGGGATATCCAGTGTATGGTGGTAACAAATAACTCATCATCCAGTGCTGTAATCTGTAAATAACCCTTTGGGCCAAGACTACAAGAAAATCATTATTGCATCATAGAGCCCAAAATTCAGTAGAGCCCACAAAAAATACAAGGTTACAAATCGTTAACATAGTGCAAATGTAGCAAGATTTAGACAAGGTTAGCCTGTGAAGAAATATTAACGTGTTTATGTCATCAAGTGCCAGGACTAGACGAAAAATTTCGTCAAGTAAAAATATGTTATAATGGGGGTAGAGATAAATGATCTTTGTTCCCAAAGAAAATTTGGTCACAAACTAACCACTCTTATTTTCTAAACAAGGAAATGATACCAGCAGAATGCACAAATATTAGAATGAACATGACAAATTCAACCCAGAACACGAAGTAAATTACCATTGATGCAAATGATTCTAAGAACTCCAGCAAGAGATTAGTGGCTTCTGTATATCGACCATAGTTAACATAAAGTTGAAATAAAGATGCAGGATTTGATTCTCGACCAGCCATTCCCCAGATCTTTTCTCTTTGACCCTCCTGCCACAACTCATTTAAATAATACCAGATTGGCAATTCAAAACGCTGTTAGATGATGATAAGAACCAACAAAGATTAAACCCTCCTTAAGCAAATGTTGAGGCAAGATAAGCATTACATAGAGAAATATGAGAGATCAGTAGGGTGTAATTAATATTTTAAGTCACAATTCTAGAAGAGTTTCACCATGAAGTTCAAATTTCTTCATTTATTTCAAACATAATAAATGCAATTTATAAGATAAGCAGGCCAGAAGGTTCAGCCAATCGCCCTCTAAGGAAACAAACATGAAGGAAAAAAGACACGTAAAGCAGGGATAAAAATGCATTTGACTTCAGGCTATTAACAAACAAAAACCTATAGAATCAAAGGGGATTGAGCCTAGAGAAAGGGTTAATCTCTCACAATATAATAAATCAAGGTTCGAATTCTTCCTGAGAGATGTGCCCACATTTAGTGCCCGACTATATCTCAAATAAGATTGCCTCCAATATAGGAGGACATCTATAAGCAATCAAAAAAAAAAACTATGGGATTTTTATGAAGAAATTGTAGGCATTTGACTTCAGCCTATAAACCACAACCAAATCAAATGATCCAAGTAGAGCATTCCAGATAGCTTCAGGTTTAGAAATTATCTAATTTTGTTTCGAGGAGCCAGATCTCAATTCAAACAGGCATCAGTGCACGAATGAACAGCACCTAAAAACTGCAACTTCAGGCAAGATATTACCTTGAACAATTGAACCAGCCAACGAGGCAAATCAATCTGAGAATCTGCCTGAAGAAGAGTTTCAGCAACAATAACGGGTAGCCTCTCATGAAATTCACAATATTTTACCTGCAATGTGGGAACAGTTCCATGAGAGTTAAACCAGGGAGAAATATACCTGCACAGAGAAAAAGCAGTTTCCCCAATTTATTGGAAACCATAAAATCATTTTGAAAGCCGAACTGATTATCAATGCACAAGATATATAATTGGCAGCAGCTTAATGAAAAGTTTTCCTATCCTCCCCTTAGCTGACTGATTGATTGACAAATTAATTTTGGGTCAATAAACATTAAAAGCTTGCAGAAGATACTAACAAGGTAAAGCTCCAGAGTTGCCCAATGGCTATTCCTGTCAGGTTGTGAGGCTGTAGAAACTGTAAGAGGTGAACCATGGACAACCATTTCAAGCTTGGACGATGTCAACAAATTACTGCGTGGCCTGTAATCATTAAAAAATTCTCAAGTTATGCGAGTCATAATATTTACTGAAAATAGTCTAGGTAAAAACTTTGGACATGTAAACATATTTCATCAATGCAGAATGAAAACTGAAATAAAAAAATAAATGTTAAGCAATACGAAATCTTACTCAATCCAAGTGGATTCTACTTTATCAAGACAGCATCTCAAAGATACAGAAGAGAAAACTCTTTCAAGCTCCCTAACCAGAGTCCCAGTCACACATACAAGGACACCATAAACATAGATTACAAAAATAAATAAACAATTAAAATATCAATAAAATAACTATTAGCAATCAACTGCAACTCAAGTGTGGGATGTAAACCTCTTCAGTCCTGAGCCCTTGAAAAATCTGAGAAGAATTGTGAAGGCCATATCATATAAATAGTTTTGGACAAGGAGATCAGCCAAATCTGACAGGGCTCCTTCTTTACCTTTAAAAGAGAAGGAGAAACAAATACTAAAAATTCTGTAAAACAAAACAAATTCTATCGAAACTTAACATCAATCCCTCAAAAATGGTCAGATATTTCACAAGAATTTATAGAGAATGAGCGAATGAGAGTTACCAGTATATATCCACTTAACATTTACCAGCGACAGCATGTATTCTGCTGACGTTAGCACAAACTCATGATCAAGTTTTTCAAGATCAACAGAAGATTGCCAGCTTTGACACTCAGTATCATTTTCAGCAGATACTGCATAACAACACTATCATCTCAAAACAATATGAAGGCAAAAACGGAAATCATGAATGGTGTCCAATAGTGATATAGGATAAGAAACCTCTCTCCCCCTCCTGGTCCCTTTCATTCCGCTAAAAATATAAAGCAGAATTCAAACATCTAAAATAAATCATGTCAAATTTAATAACCAGCAGCATTAGTCTCAGGATCTGTAATACTTACAATCTACGTCTACAGTTCTTCGAGCCTTTTTACTTGGATACTGTTCACTCATAAGAGAACTTCCATCAGCTGGTGGATCAATCCAGGCATGTGCTGGATGAACAAGATGCAAGGCATTAATAGCAGCAGAGATTGCATTCAGCCTCTCTTGCAATATCAATGAAGAGCCATGATAATCTTTTAGAGCCACTTCAGTCTTCAAACGAGCTGAATAGAGGTACATGTAATTCGCTGCTCGGCGCCAGTTATGTTGATGCATTTGGAATGTATAAAGCAACTTGTACAAGTTTGGCTTTGCTGATATATCTGATCTTTCAGCCTATATCCACAACAAAATTCTAAATATTAACTCAGAAACTATAATTTTTACAGCACTCAACCTACTCAGTCAAGGTCTATACCTTCCAAACAAGCTCCTGCTCTACCTTCTCCATTAAACCAGTGAGGGGAAGCTTATTACTACAAAGAATCTACAAATACAAAATAAGTATTAAGAGCACAGGGAAATTCAAATCGATGCCTGTGAACTATCTACAAAATTTCCAGGGGGAGGGGGGACAGCTCAAGCAGAATGATTAGACAAAAAGTTACAATGCTTCACAAATTAAACCTAGTACAACATTTAAGCTACTTTTCACTAGAAACTAGAAAAATTTTAGTAAAAATTTTAGTAAACAAAGTTAATGGATTTTTTGGTCATACAAACAAATTTAACAATCCTTATCCCACTAGGTGAGATCGACTATAGAGTTTGAATAACGCCATTGTGCTTTATCATTATTCAAACTTCTAGAAATATTGTTATACAAGAGGTCTCATTCAACAACTTCCATAAGAGTTTTTTTTTTTTTTTTTGGTACCTCACATGGCCCTCTCTATACATGGCCAAACCATCTCAAATAACTTTCTACCATCTTCCTCTCAATAGATGCCACACTCACTTTTTCTCGTATATGCTCATTTCAGTAATTAGACCTAGAGCCAAATAAAAAAGGACAGTTGCACATAATTGGGACCTGCACACATGCTTGATTGAACACATATGCACATAATGTAGACATTTTTAAGCTTCCCCCAACCCAAAAATTCAATCTCTCAATCATTTTAACCTAAAAACCAGAAGTCAAAATTTGACCAAACAACAATCACATGCTGATTGAAAAAGTTAAGTCTGAAAAGTTCTTCATAGTGTAACCAACCTTGATAGCACCTTGTTCATAAAGGACAATGATGAAACGTCTCAAGCAGATATATTTGCTCTCCTCATCGGGATTTGAAATTATTGCACAGTATGCATCAGAATAGTGGCCAAGATCTAAGGCAAATTTGAAGACATTCGACCATAGACGTCCCTTGATCATTGTTGCTGATTCCTCAGTTGAGTCACTCATGTGCTTCTCATCTTTCACACATAGAGCTTCATCAACTTGCTCAAGTGCAGCAAGAGCAAACTGGCAAGCACCTTCATTAATATTATACTGTTCAAATAATTGCATTGCCCATTGATAGTACTGAAGCTTCCATGCAGCAATTGATGCAAAGCCACCTGCATAAGAAAAAGAGAAGGGGGTAATCTAAGAAGCAACTAAAATCTGAGATTGCTTGTATGTTTCAGATTATTGCAGCTTGTGCATTAATAAACCCACCAAAATTAAGATATGGCAATCCTATGTCATGTGGCAAACTCTGCAAAGCCTCAGATGCACCATTCCCAGATGAAGACCTGAATTGAATTGAAAAACTTTTAGAATGAGCGTAAAAAAAAAAAGAGATATATTGCTTTTATATAAGAAGAAAATTAGAGAGCAAAATTTAGAACTTGTCGGAGAATAAGAAATCATCAAAAGTCATGCTAGAAATTTCAAGAAAAATCTAAAAAACAAAGTCAGAACTAAAACCGGGTATAAAAAAAATCAGCATGATAGGGTTGGCCAATGTCTTTGCAAATCACAATCAGAATTCCCTTGAGAAAAACAATGTCCTTGGAATTATTGGAAACCATGGCATGATTATGTTTAAAAATCTCTGTCCAGCCAGAAAAGAAAAGGCAAAAGAAGAGTTTAACCACAAAAAAGTTAACCACACAACAATATGCCCAAAATCATATTCAGTACAAAATTTCAGCCAATACAGTGCGGAATGCCTAAAAGAAGGGGAAGAAGTCATTCAATTCAAGTTCATCCAATAGCTTGTAGAAGCCAATAGCCAGATCAGGCAAATTAATTCTCTATTAATGCAAGACCACATAATACACTGAATTAAAAAAAGAAAAAAGAAATACCCCATTTATTTTTTTAGGTGATATTCATTTAAATTATTTTACCTGAAGAAACAACAAACAGCGTCAGAGACCTTTTTCTCTTTCAGAGTGCCACGCAATCCACACTGCACCTGTGCAAGAAGGGCGCAACCTAGAAGATGCTGTCGTATGCACCATCCACCATCAGCTTCTTGAATACTTTGGGACGTCTTCTCTTTGTGTAAATGAGCCTCCGCCATTGTAAGCAATTGCTTTTGAAATTAAAGTATCAGATAATTTCAGTCAAGATAAATCAGGAGTGAGGAAATATAAAAAGCACTGAACTATCACTCTAGGAAAAAGAAAAGGAAAAGAAAAAAACCTCAGCAGCACCATACTGCCCATGCTTGAAAAGGATAAAGGAGAGATCAATTGAACGGCTCAAGAAGGTAGAAAATCCTCCAGACTGGCCATAGATTATCCAACTGACAAAGTCTCTAATCTTGACAACAATGCCAAGCATATTTGAAAAAGATTCTGAAGAAAGCTGATTACCATCCACGGATGAACTTCTAGCATTCAGCAAGAAGATAAAAGCCAGTGTGAAGTCACATCTTCCAAGCTTCTCATTCCATGACCGTTTTCCCATGTTGTCTGCATCATTAATAGAATGATCAAACACTATATTAGCAGGAAAATGCATGTCTTCAATTCTATAATCCCTGTGTATAAATAAGCAATTTTGAGATGTTCTAATTATTGAGCATAAGATGTACTTTTTCTGCATTATTAAAGAGTGGTTGACGGAATTAAAATGCATGCTATTCAACCCAGATATAATTCGTGTGGATTAACTGACAAAATTGAACACATCGTGATGTGTAAGTCAGCTCTATGTGACTTATTTTTACACAACAACATCGCCAGGGCAGCAAGAATTGGGTATAACTGAAAATCTGAACATAATAAGGACTAAAATATTTTAGTATGATGCACTTTGACCCTTTGCGGAATTATAATACAAGGCATTCAACCTTTTCAAAATTTACATTTGATAATTGAACCATGTACAATAGCATCCCCATGTGCCACAAAATGCTAGTTTTACCCAATTTGTCGAATGGCTCAAAGCATCTAACTGTTGAAAAGCTTAATTGCAATAAGACCTAACTTGCCCTAGATTACAGATTCTAAAGGGCCCAGAGTTATGGTCAATTTAAGACTTAATTTTTCTTTTAGGACACAAGCACAATTCTATAGTAAGCTTTATGAAAGCCTTCAATTTTTTTGTTTTTAACCTTATAAGGGTAGAAAAGAAGACGTGTAATGTAACCCCCCCATTCCTCATACTGTTAAATCCAATTTCATCATATTAAACTCGATAATGTGGTGATTAGAAGAAAGATACATCATAAACCTACCGATTTGTAATGAAGAGAGTTTATAATTAAAATCCTCAATTACAGTTGGTGCAGATGGTGTGATAGCAAAGAAGATGACAACTAGCCACTCAAAAATAGTTTCTTGAAGCATAGGAACTAACTCAGTTTGTATTCTGGTTATATCACCATGTGACATATGGATCTGCAAAAGCAACCAAAAAAATCAGCAATAAATGGTGCAACAACATAAGTTGCTACAAATGCTATAAAAACTATTGTGCAGCTTAGCCCCCATAAAATATGTTAAAAGAATGGGGAAACAATAAATTCTACAAGCAGGAAAACAACATTAACAACAAAAACAAGTTTACACTGACCTGCCCACTGATGTCCAATAGATAGCTTAGGAATAAAAGAAAGTCCCAGGCAGACTCATACATCACCTTTGCAACCTGATAAGTAGCATGGACTACAACGGATGAATTGACATTTGACGATTTTTCAAAATCAAAGTTGTGCACAGTTTTATGTGGAACCAAAAATTTCAGAAAACCCTCAATTACATCTAATATCCTGCCCCATGATGCAGCCTTCTTGTACAACCCTTGAAGAGATAAGAACATATCAATAGAAAGCCTCCTCAGATTTCTATGATCTGCAAGCTCCTTTGACAGAATTATTTCATTCCCAGGAACAGATGCATGGACAACTGGACCCAATGAACCATATCCAGTTTCCAGAATCTTCACTATACAATTAATAATATCTTCAGAAGAGATAGCTGGGCTACTTAGAAGTGACTCATAAAATATAGAAGAAGCCATTTTGCCCAACTGTTGGCTAAAACTCAAAACACATCTGATCAATTCTGTTGGAATTTCATGCTCAAGATCATCATCAAGTAAATCCACAAGACCTGTGAGATCACCACCTTCTCCTGAAAAGACACAGAATATGAATGGAAGAAAAATTGAGGAAAGAAAGAAAAATCACGGTACATAAAATAATGAGCATGTAATTAAGTGAACAAAAAGAAGGGCTTGATCAGCAGGATAGATTAACATTGGGGTGATGTGGATTTGGATCTTTTGACGGCCTCTCTAAATTAGGGAGTTTAACCCCCTCCACTTTCTCTTTTATCTTTCCTTTTCATTTATAAGAGGAATATCCCACCCCACATCATTGTAACATGCTAACTTCCAAATAGTACCCTCGTTTTTTATTGAACCTTCAACCAAATGGGTTATCTTCCTCGCTCTGCACTCAAACCAGAACTACCAATCCAGCCATGGGAGAAAAGCTAGAATTTGTTTTGTACAAAAAAGAAACTTGGACAAAAAAGGAGGTACAGAGAAGTGACCATAATTACCTTCTATAATCCGCTCAATATCTTCCAGAGACCGAAAAAGTGATATTGAACTTTTTCTAATTAAACCAACCGCATTAGTAGAGGAGTCAATGAGCAAGCCACATGATGCATTGATCTTGCACCAATTATGGAAGTAGTGGGCACAGAAATACTTCCAGCATTGAAATATGGGCATCTTTTCAGTTCCAACCTATCAGAGGAATCTTGTCATTTTTAATACGCCAGATTGATCCTTCCCAACACTGAAGGAAAAACAACAAGAATGAGAAGAAATGTTTTCCAGATATGAAGATAACAACCTCATGTTCAATAGCTGAAAGTATCTCCTTTTTTAGTCCATTTGTAGTTAACGCTTGGAACTCAGATTCCACCAAGTGCTTTTTATACTTGATAAGAGTTGCATGCAAAACAGAATTATGATGCACACCAGGAAGAAGCAGCCTGCGTAAGAAAATTGAAGATACAAAAGGCACCATATCATCCTGCAGAAATAGCACGGAGTAATAATTGTGAGTAATATCTTTAACAAAAGAAGTAAAATACTGGCAGTTGATGCATGGCAAGCCAACAGAAAACCATATCACAAGACACTAAATTCATTCAGACACATTACAACTGCATATCTCCCCTACTCATCACAACAGAGGTGTGGATAGTTTGCTAATTAAAATCAAATTCCCTAAATACCCCTTGCTCTAATTACCTAACTGGCCTTTATACTACAATTCTCCTAATTATCCATTTAGTTCAACAAGTAACATCTCTTCGTCTTCGTCCCTTTTACTTTACAGAAAATGAGGGATAAGTTTCTGCTGCTCATCACTGGAGAAGTAAACAAGGATATTAAGCGTGCAAGGCATGTTTCCACTGGAAACAAATGGAGTCTGCTTCACCATGGACTTGCACATTTTACATTCGTATTGCATTAGTTAAATTATTGCTTAGAATCATGTAGTAAAAAACCCATCAAATTAAATGATACGACATCACAAGTACCATTTTAAATAACATTCATGTGCACCCAATGCCCTTGGAATAGGGTGAGATGGGGTGATTTGAAGCCCATCCTAGCCCACCCCTTAGAACCTAGTTTTTAAAGCCACTCCAAGGGTGTTTTAAAATGGGTTAATTTAATTCTTAACCATTTCCATTTTTATGAACCCTCTCCCCTTGTCTTCTTTTCCTCAAAGGGTTAAAATCACAAAAATAATCTTGGAATTTCACCCTTCAAAACCCATAATGAGATTGTAACATCCAAACAACAACAGAGTGGATAACCATCGTGTGCCCCCCTACCCCCTGCCCGACCAGGGAAAAAGAAAATCTCCAGCAGCACTCTTCAATCATGCCTTGGATGACTGGCTTTAAATTTTAGAAAGATAATGGAAGATTCCACGTAAGCCAATACCTTGGAAGATGAAAATAATAGATGTGAAATCTGCAAAATTTCATCTGCAAGATGATCTGAACCCTGAAATAGTTGATCAGCCACAAACTCTTCTTGTAATGCATAAGAAATTCTTCTTCCCTGACAAGATAGGGTAATTAATTGAGCTTGAACAGTCACATTCCGAATTTAGCGAATCACCCACATGCATAACAAAGTCATTTAACAGCAAACTAAGTTATCTTACTTATATCAACAAATAAATAGAAGACCTCAACTATTTGACAGGTGTGGTGCAATGTCACCATACAAGGACCAAACTTCAGCTATATTTGAGCTCAAAACCAACTGCTTTAGCCCCCAAAAAAAAATGAACAGCTTACTACCATCTTTATTTAACACCAGACTACTTAAAATCATTGGAGATTGAATATTCAGTTTATACTACAATTACTATGGAGCGGCAGTCAATTAAACAGATTGATAGGAACAAGCTCAAAAAAGGTCACATACTCATCAGTATTTGCAGAAAACATGTGTGATAGTAGTTCATCATCCTTTAGTATCCATATCTTGTCTGAAGTTAGTTTGACATCAACGCATCCTCCCTGGAAAAAAACTACAGATGTATGACATTTGGTGCAGATGGAAAGTCACATCTAATAGCTTAAATCAAATTAACATGAGGGGGCCAGCAATATACCTCCTCCAAAGAAATATTTTGTACAGAAGACTTCATTGAGAAAATTATTCTTTCACTAAAATTATATTGGATATTGTGTATAGAGATCATCTCCAAGCTTTCGTCCTTCAATGTAGACCCAAAAAAATCAATAATCGAGAATTATAGCAAATCAAAAGGTTAAAAAAAACAATAATGTTTATTAATCATACCTATTATACATTACAGTCTCCAAAAGGACAATACAGATTATCTTTCACAACTTGAGATGTCAAATAAAATCCTAATGATGTCTCACTATTTTGAAATAGAAGTACAAAAAAGTGTGCGCATTATATAAAGTATGGTTCTAATTTAACATGAGTTCCACAGGCTCATGGCATGGTTTGCAACACACAGAAGTGAGACGCAGCAACATCACAAAATCCAAGGTATCTTGGAGCCATTTAAATATTTTGTTGTGTCCAATACAAGTGTCCAACAAGTGACAAGCACAAACACAGCTCCTTTTTTAAAAAAAAAAAAATCTCCTTGACAGTTTATTAAACAAGATAAGGGATTCAAACCTACAGCCAAAGTGACACAAAAATACAATGAAATTAGATAAAACAATGACCACATGGTGACTGGGAAGCAAGCCCAAAGCTTGACTAAATAATTTTCCTGACAAGGTTGCTTGCTTGAAAATGAGGCAAAGATGGGTGATAAATCTAGTTGTTAGGTAAATTAATTGAACTTGAATTGTTTTGAATTTAATATAGACCAAAGTAGCATCAAATGCGTAAGTCCCATGCCAATATGGAATGCACTACGATATACTTAAGTCTCAGGAACCAACCTAGTTAGTCCCTATCCATTAACAATAAATTTGTAACTATCAAATGCCACTGTTTATCAGGTAAACCATGATGCTATTATCTTAATAGGACAAAACAAAGAAAATTAAAAACTGGCAAATTCAATTTCATGAGTTCTACCACAAGAACTTTGTACTTCTTTTCTATTTTCCTTATTTAAATGTTAAAATGTAACTCTTCTAAAATCAATTTAAACTACATCTACCCAAATGAAATTATTATTACAACTTACTTCGTCATTTTTTGTATTCTCATTCCAAAAGTGACAAATTAGTTTCAGTAGGCCAACTAATCTGATTCAAGTTGGCTAGTGAATACTAAAGTAATTTTTATTAACCAGGCTCAAATTCGTATCAGTTATGCTAAATGATAAGATGACATTATAGATATATTTACTTTGGCCAATAAGACGTACATACTCACTTTGAAGTTTGAACATGAGATGATTAACATCTTTAGACACATTTATTTAACAAAGATCAGCTACCTATGCAGTTTTCAAGAGTTTAGATGATGCATGACTCAAATGAAAACTCTAGGTATCAAGCCACAAAGCTTCTGGTGTATATACTAACAGAACATAACAAGGATAAAATATAAGTGTAAGTGGTTTTTATCAATATCAATTGATTTTGAAACCATAAGTTTCATACCGATGTATGTGAGTACAAAATTGCTAATGGAATTGTACTTGAATCCAAACAAGGTTGACCCGCCCATAATTTCATAAAGCTAGCGCCTGAATCACAGAACGTTGAGGTATAAGTACATAACTCTCTGTAAGTGGGGTAAACAGTAGGAAAGGAATGCATGATATTATCATTAACTAGAGAAAAGGAAAGATTGTAATACATTCTCAACTGTATTTTAAGCTCTATGATAAAAGTGAGAGAGGCATTATGTATCATCACTCAAAAAGGAAATTGTTAAGCAACACCAACCCAAAAAAAAAAAAAAAAAACCAAAAGCCCTTCCACAAGCATTTGAGTACTATAAGAAATATAAATCTCCCCTTTTCTTTCCACCACATATAAAGAATTTGTTCAGCTGAACTTTAGTTTCCCTTTTAAATCATCCAGTTAATCATCTTTAAAAGTCTGCAAACATATGCAAAATCACGAGATGCAAAAAAGAAGGCATAAAAAGTTTTGAATTCATCTTTAAGAAACCAGGTTTGACATCAACTCCGGTCACAACATGACCTTCAAACTTCCCCCACACAATCCACCATTTCTATCATACCCTTTTCTGCTCTCAATTCCAAAATTTAGAAGTTAGATCTTGAAATCCTCAAATCAAGTGCTTCTGCAATGCCTGCTGCAGCTTTCCTAATTTATCCCACTTTTTAGGACGTTAATACCGTAAAAACCAATGATAATAGTCTTTCTAATATTAAAGAGCCGCACTTGTTTAAAACGCATGTCTAAGATAAACAGAAAAGAATATAAAGACAGGATCAAAGTTTAGGACTAGAAACTACCTGTCATGGTTGTAGTGCCCAAAGTATGACTAAAGACCCTGGAATTACATGCGAGATCCCAAACGCGTAGTAATCCATCCAAATGAAGTACAAATAGGAATCTTTTACCATGAAGCTCGTACATCACCATGTCTTGTACCAAACTCACCATTTTACCCCTATAAGACATGTTCAGTGAATAGTGTACAATTCATAAATCATAATGCAATTGAAAATTGAAAAATCCAAGAAATAGGAGATACCAAAAGACTGGAAAAATTAAAAAAAAAATATACCCCATGTTCAATAATACAACATCTTTTGATTACTCAATATTAATTAATATCTCTAAAAAAACAATACCTTGACATAAGGCCCCACAATCGACTGATTCCAGCTTCATCTCTAAGCTCAACCACAAATCCTTCAGGGAAACATAGATGCATTATAAACCACCGCAAGAAATAAGTTAAATAGAGAAGGCTCCAGATATAGAGAAAAATAACATTGATGCTTCACAGTGAAATCCACGACAAGAAAAGCGATGCTGATCATCAAAGTGGTAAAAAGAAACTCGGGCAACTGCATGGAAGATAAAATGTGCAATATGAAATCGTTTAGGAGGAACCACTCCACATCAATAGGGAGAAGTCACACGAATGCAAACTCAATTACCCAGAGGATATGCAAATTGCAATATTATGAATTGCAATGAAAAAAGCCAAGAGACGGGGGATGAAACAAGCCAGCTAATGCACATATCAATACTTGAAAGTAAATAGCAAAGTTAATCATACCAGCAGCATTTGGATCAAGTACACCGAGCTGAAAACAGCAAACAGAACCATCATTTCTGCCAACAGCAAGACACCCGGAAGTCGCAGTCACCGCAGTCACTGGCATTTGATTAGAATAATCGCGCACATTAAGCTCTGTAAGCTCGTGAGTTGGGAAGACGGAGCAGGAAGCATATGCAGAAATATCTCTAATTTTCAAGAGGTAAGCCACCCCAGATACAGTTAATACATAAAGCAAGAAGGGGAATCTAGAACTGGCAGTAATCTGCAATTAACAAAAGCGTCAATTGAGTCAAATAGCTTACAGGATAATGTCGACGGCATACAAGTGATCAATAAAACAAAATATCACCCAATTATATTGGGTCAAAAATGCATGCAGTGTGATGTATAATGAATGTATAACCTCATTTTTGCAGATGAAAGCAAATGGACAGAGCGCGTCAGCGAAAGTGAACCTCAATCCAGTTTTAGGAAATTCTTGGGAAGCACGGATCTCCAGCAACTCTAATGCTTGAGGCTGCGTTTTGTGAATTCTCCTGTGAGAAGAATCCACAATGATGGTTGTTAGTAATAGCGTCAGTTTTTTTTTTTTTAACTGAAGAATGCAATAGACATGCTACGAAGCAGACAGCATAGGTAGAGCTAGAAATTGACAAGAGGACAGGAAGAGGAAGCGTACCATATCAGATAAGTAGAAGGACTTCCAATGACAAAGCAAGAGGCGCGGTCCTCATTGGGAGGTCCAGGAGTGGCAGTCCCACTGTCATCAGCAGTGGCGGCACTGTTGGGAGAAGAAGGAACGGACAATTCAATCCACTTGACGGCATCGTTACTGATGATGGGAACTTCCTTCCCCGCCAATGTCGACCCACTTCCCATTTTCTTCGTCGTATCCTTCCGAATTAAGCCCCACCAAAACCCTAAACCCTAATGCAGGGTTCGCGGTTTAGAACAGCATAAGCTGACCTCTCGATACAGGAAACCGGAGCGGAAGAGTCGTAATAATGGAAAGCGCATGGCGCCCAAAGTTATTAACCCCGAAAAAAAGAATCAAAAAATCAAAAGGAAGATCATGACAGATGATAACATCGCGTTTTAACTTCCCACAAACAATAATAAATATAAAATAATTTATCCACTCATTTTAAAAATATAAAATAATAATATCTTAAAATATTAAAAATATTTTTTTATTTTTGACATTCAACTTTTTTTTTTAAACCAAAACAGTCCATTTTATTAATTATCAAAAATAAAGTATTACACACGTTAAGCCACCTGTAAAACAGCCAAAAAAAAAAACCTACCGTTCAAGCTTCAGAAAAAACAAATAGCAACAAAAAGTAAACAATACAACCTACCCAACCAATAAAACAATATAAAGTAAATTTTTTAAAAAATATTTTATATTTTTAATGAAGAATATAACATTAAAATGTATAAAATTCTTTTAAATTTTAAAATAGTTATATTGTTTTATGGTATGTAGTAATAGTTTTGAGGATATGAACGTAAGCGACCAGCAGAGGGGGAAGTCAGCTCGTGTCGTGAGATGTTTGGTCAAGTCCTATAACGAGCGAAACCCTCGTTTTGTGTTGCTGAGACATGCGCCTAAGGAGAAAGTCTTTGAACCGAAGTGAGCCGAGGAGCCGAGTGACGCGCCAGCGCTACTAATTGAGTGCCAGCACGTAGCTGTCAGTAAGAAGGGAGCCGGCGCCTTTCGAATTCGAAGCACTTTCGTTTGTGCGCTGTTTGTTTTTTGATTGCAGCTAGCGCGCTTTACTAAATAGAAAGGAGCGGAGCAGCTCGCCCCTATCGAATAAGCTGGAGAGGCCTTCTAACGTAATGGGTCGCTCGAGCGCCCTATCAGATCAAAGGCGAGGGCTAATGGCGCTTGTTTAGTAAAGTCCAGTTTTTGGCCTTATCTTGCAGGTGACGACGACGTCGAGTTGGTTGGCTAAGGAGAAAGACTCGGCATTCAGGCGAGCCGCCCGGTGGTGTGGTACGTAGTGGGTTTAGTACGCCCCGCCAAAACGGCTCCGAAACAAACTAAAAGGTGCATGCCGCACTCACGAGGGACTGCCAGTGAGATACTGGAGGAAGGTGGGGATGACGTCAAGTCCGCATGGCCCTTATGGGCTGGGCCACACACGTGCTACAATGGCAATTACAATGGGAAGCAAGGCTGTAAGGCGGAGCGAATCCGGAAAGATTGCCTCAGTTCGGATTGTTCTCTGCAACTCGGGAACATGAAGTTGGAATCGCTAGTAATCGCGGATCAGCATGCCGCGGTGAATATGTACCCGGGCCCTGTACACACCGCCCGTCACACCCTGGGAATAGGTTTCGCCCGAAGCATCGGACCAATGATCACCCATGACTTTTTCGTAGCAGTCCATATGATCTAACTCGTAATGAAATTCATCAGTCTGCTGTTACAGCAAGTGAAGAGAAGATAGATCTCGAGTTTCAGTTTGAAGCCCTAAAGTCAGCTTCTTTTAGTTGAATCCCACCCCTGGTCTAAGCCATTCAACGTGTTTAAGCTAGTGCTTCTGTCTTCTCTGCGATTGAAGTTGCAGTGGTAACAAAATTATTTTTAATTCATGAATATAATTTATTTTTATTCCTTTATTTCAGTAACTTCTTAACCCATGATCTAATAACTTCCTAACCCAATGATTCCTCTTTCAGATATGGTCAGTTATTCAGTATTATATCATTCTAATAGCAAATTAATATAAATAAACAAATAAAAACTGAATTATAAACGTATGACTTAATAAAATAATTACATTAAATTCTTTATATGTTATTAATTAATATAATTCTCATTTATAATTTAATTAAATATATATGATTTATGAATTGAGTAATTAACAGATAATTTCCTAATCCCACGATTCCTCTTTCTGTGAAAAAATACTGCCCAATTTAGTAATATTTCAAATACCTTGATTCTATAAAGCCACGTAGGATTCTGCTTCCAAAATTAATTTTAATCTGTGAACATAATTTTATTCCATTAATCCTTCATTCCAACAATATCCTACTCTGATGGTTATTTAAACTTTGGTTCGTAATATTCTAATCAATTCCTAACTCCACAATTCCTGTAGGATTTGGTTTAATTTAATTTTTAATTCTTATTTCATATATATGACTACATCTTATAATTTAATATAAAATTCTCTTTTAATTAATTCAAATTAACTTGAATTGATTCTATACTTTAGATTAGATTTAAATGTTAGTTGGTAATATCCCAATAAATTCGTTACTCCACAATTCAAGTTAGATTTTTTTTAATTTTTAATTTTCATATATAAGTGGATTTTATAATCAACTAATGTCGGGATCATGGTGCTAAATTAATACAAATCACTTTGAGTTATTGATTCTAAATTTTAGATTTTGATTTATATGTGACTGGTTGAATTCCAATAGCTTCCTAGACTCCACGATTGATGTTTGATTCAATTTGGGAGTTTTTCAAATTCAAGCATATTATTGCTATTTATAAAAAAATTATTAATGTAATTTTATCTATAAAATTATCAATTTGGGAGCCAACTATAATTGATTAAATTAATGTATTTTATTAAAAATAATATAATATCATGATCCCCATGTTGCTTGATTTAATATATACCATACCCTCCTAATAATAGTGATCCCTATATTTTTGGAATTTAATTTAAGAAAGAATTTCCTAATATAAATTCCTTCTAACGACTAAGATTTGGTGTGTATTTAAATTTTAAAAAATTTTTATAAAAAATTATACCCATGTCATTTTAATATTTTTTTAGAGATAGTGCAATTATTATATCAACTTTATCTTATATAATTAATTAATTAACTGTTAATAAATGCTTTTTTCTATACATGTATTTACATTTCACAAGAATTGGGTAGTTACATATTTATTTGACTATATAAATTTTAAAATTTTTCCATTTTTGAGTCAATTATATATCTATTAAATGTGGTGCCTAATAATGATTAATCTTATTAAATATGGTTTTATGTACATCATTTATTTCTAATTGCATAATTTCTTTAACAAATATTTTTGACTATATAATGATATTATTTCTCATCATCAATCAGCTATACATTTAAATAAAGTGAATTTCCCATGTTCCATTATCTCCCCTCTCTCATATAGTTGTAAACGTGGGTGTTTATGTGATCGTGTGGGTTGTTGGAGATAAAGATAGCAAGTCTCATATATAAAAACTGAGTGAGTGCACTAATGATTGCAAGAACTTATTATTCTTCAATACTCACCGTGAATCCATCATTTTCTGACATTGATGAGTTATTCAAGAAAGCTGCCTTGCTCGCCATTGAATACTCCAAAGCATCTCCTATATGGTGGTGTCCTCCTCCAGAATTTGTCGGCACTACCACTGTGAAGAGGTGCTTGAACTAGAGTCAAAGATAGTTTGACTTCTCATCTCTTATAACATCTGATGGAGTGAAGAGTGAGGCAGTAGAAGCAAATGATGAACTTGACAATATTGGTGGTCTTATAGCATCTGATGGAGTGAAGAGTGAGGCAGTAGAAGCAAATGATGAACTTGACAATATTACTGGACTTGTAGCATCTGATGGAATCAAGAGCGAGGTGGTAGAAGCAAGTGATGAATCTGCTGATAGTAGTAGTCCTACAACATGTGTTCCATTTAGGCGCTCTAAGAGAACCAAGAGTATGCCATTTTGGATGATGGACTATTATGTATATATGTGATGTATGTTTAAAATTTAATTTTAATTATGTTTTATTTGCAAATTATGTTTAGTAGGCTATCGAACATCTTGTAAGCGAACTCTTTGTGTGTGTTGGTTATATATTTCTATATATTAATTTGGTTGATTTTGCTAGGTGTGTGAATGTCTATGCTAATATGCACTACAAATATATAATTTATGAGATATTTATTCTGTGAAATTAAAGCTTTTATTTTGTGCGTGCACATTATCATGACAGTTAATGGAGACATTGAGGGGATGTGGGTCGCACATTGAGACTTCATGGGTTAAGGAAGTTAACCTGATGTGGCACTTAAAAGCAGTAGAAAAAAAGTTCAAGTTATGAGGTAAATGTGCATTGAAAAATAAAAATCATGGAGAATATGGTTATATAAATATAATAAATATATGTGTAAATAAAATAAAGAGATATATAATAACAGATATATTCATCTCAACAAACCATGAAATTTAATTAAACAACATATTTTTTATTGGCAAAATTTAAACAAAATATATTTATTATAAATTAGTAATTTTAAATTATAGTCAAATTAGCTGCCACGTTTTTTGATATTTTGCATTATTTTTAAAAATTTTATTAAATCATCATGGGCACCTTAGTAACCACCTTCGGAGATAATATGGCCATGTTGTGAGTTGGCTATTAGCCACACAAGCGCTTCTTCCTTCGTCTTCTTCTCCTTCTCTGGTATTTGTTCATTATAACCTTTTAACCACCATTTCGCCTTCCTTTATTCATTACTGTAGCATTAAGTTTGTATTTTCAACATGAATAAATGTGTGTTGGTAAAAAAAAAACATGAATAAATGTGAAATTTAAACTTCATGTACCAACACTTTTTTTTTTTGAAAAAAAAATCATTTGGCTGGTTTTGATAATCATTTTCATCATTGTGTTGTTGCTACGTGTGAACTAGAATTCTACATGTTCAATGAATCAAAGAATTGCCTATAGTAACAAGCATCTAAGCTATTATATTAGATAATTGGAGGTATACATCATTTAGCTTCTTTAATTTTGTATAATACTTTATATGAATAACCTCTTCAATCCTATTAAATTGTAGCTTATGGAATTTTTTCTTGAGAAAGATTATTAT